AATCTCTTTAGAATTCGTTTGATTTTCTTATAAGGCTTCAGTTTTATTGGTTTCCTCGATGTTTGTCACATTTTCTAAAATTTTCTTTTGCGACATCCGATACCAAAACGAAAAGTGACGTTTGTACCGACTATCTCTAGTCTTCATAGTACCGACGACGAAAAAGGATACGATCTAGCGGGAAGTGGCTACTGGACCGTCGATACAATCACGAAATAGGAGTGTGGTATTATTTTCGTTTTTAGGATGAATAGATCTCTAAAAATGGTAGCTCTAGCTGGGCCCAAAGCGGGACTACAAAGTGTAATACCGAGACAAAACCAGGAAGTATAATAACATCTACAAGAAGTAAAAAGACTTTCTTGTATATAACAGGAATATCAAATCTGGTTTGTTAAAAGACATCATTTTTGAAAATTTCCAGTAACGTTTAATAACGTAACAAGGTAGCGCTATTGGCTCAGTGCGAAGTCATGGTAGGGGAAGCAAAAGCGATACTAGCGCTAGCTGCAGATAATTCGTGCATTTTAGGGCGATGGTTTGTAATTTTGGCATAACACATACACTTATACATTTTAGTTTTTTTCAAAAAAGTAGGTAAAAACAATACAATAAGAAACCGGAGTTGTTGTGTTGAAAATTGTACAAATACTAGCAAAAAAAACCGTAAAAAATATAAAAAAATTCAGTAGCAAAGTGGAAATTAAATTAAAGAAATAAATGGATAGGTGTACAATAAGAAGAAAAATTACCTTTAATTTTGTAATAATAACAGTAATACTGGAAATAGTAGACATCAGAAACTTGAAAGGTTTTAAATAAGTAATAAATTATCATTTTATGATGTTCTTCAACATTCCTTTATTCCTAAATATTCATTCAGCAAGGACTAGATTTAAAGATTTATGTCTTTGATTATTGTATGTGGCTGGAATGCAATTTTGTGACTTACTGATGGGAAACCAGTTTTTAATCATTTATTTTACGTTTTCTTTCGAACAAAAATGAAAATATAAATAACGATCCTTCTGTTATACATTTTAACTTCAAGGTATTATTTAATGGTATTTTTTTATTTTGACAGAATAGGTTAATTTTTCAAAGACAACTTATTAGACTTAGGCAACTTCTCATACATTTTCCAGTAAATACTGTCGCCTGCCTATATTTTATTATTGATTTTTATTGATTATATTTATTTTTTTTTTAATTTAAGCGATAAAAATATGTAATAATAAATTAATGTTTTACTTGTTTTACAAATCCATATATTTTTATTAAAACTAACATATATACTTTTTAATTACAAATTCTATTAAAAATTGTATTTGTTAGTATACTCAAAAGTCCATTAGTACCTAAACGAATTGGCGCTGCTGTCACGCACGGAGCGAATAATATCACTAGAACGCCTACATTGTTTCATCACAAAAGTAAACGTCTCTACCAGGTATCGGTAACTAGTATAGCCCGATCTGAAACTATATTTTTGTTTCAAGGAACAGATTCTAGATGGCGCTGTACACAACAATTTACAGAAATCTACAATTGATGGTGGAAAGAGTGGGAGTGTCATTTGTCATTGTCAGGCATCCATTATCGATTACCTCGCGGTGAATGACATTTGCCATTTTACCTGTATTTTTTGTGATTATCAATATCATATTGTCAATAATTATTATTTGTTTGTATTTGGGTGTTTTCTGGATCCTGGATGAATAAATAGTAAGTATTTTGTAAATAATTGTTCATTGTATTGTCAACTTGGTCTTGTTCAATTGTGTTTTAAATGTTCAATTTGTTTACTTGATCTTGCTGACGATTGAGCTTATTTTAAATTTTTGTGGTAATTTTTAGTTATAAAAGCTGTAATATATCGTATTGTTGTATGCCAAATTGTTTTGTAAATACTCTGAAATCCTAATAACGATTTATTTCAAATTTGAGTATTGGGTGTTCGCAGTCCATTTTTCAATAAAACAACAAATTTGTAAAAACTATTTAGTATGTGATAAACATTTTGAAGATATATTTAAAGTTCTTGGTGCACGCAGCGATCTAACTGTATTTTTATTTGTTCTAGTACAAACTTTTTCAAGCCGTTTGGAGTGGCAGTATTGCATCAATGAAGACAAAAACAGCCTAGTCAGGGAAGTAATAGTCACTGTACTTTTTGTATTCATGCCTCATATTTGATTTTTATATTGATTTAGTTCAGATTGTTACTTTTACTGTTTTTTATTTGTTCTAGTACAAACTTTCTTCAAGCCGTTTGGAATGGCAATATTGGATTGTGGAAGACAAAATAGCCTAGTCCGGGAAGTAATGGTCAGTATACCTTTTTTTTATTTATGCCTCACTTTCTGTGCTCCCCAACAGATTTGAAGGGTTCAGGAAAAAAAGGGGCCTAGTCACAATTACCAAAATGTTCAGAAAACCAAATTTAATTTAGACTGACTAAATACAAACTTTTGATACTTTAAGGTAATTGATTACAAAAAGATGTTACTTTGTTTAAATGTTGCCTGATTATATTGTAGTTTACCACTTAATTTACCAGACAGTTGTAATTTTTTATTCTAAATACTGAAAATGACAAACAAACAGTAGGAAAGTCCTTGGACATAATTTTAAATGCACTGTTTTGCATTTGCTAATACTGGTATTTTACAAAATAGGGCGGACCAGTTCAATTTTGATAAAAATGTGGCTTAGCTGCTTTTTTCTTCCTGTATCCTTCTTGATTTATAAGTTGATTAATATTTATTTTCAACCTCTGTGGACAATGACTTAACTTTCCAGCTAATTAACACGCTACATTTAATTATTCTATTTTGTATGTTTTTTTTGTTTTAATAAATTAATTTTGTTGATCATGCTTTTTAATTGTTTGTAAAAATATTTTAACTTGTAGTCAAGTTAGGATTGGTTCATACTACTCATTTTTTGCTTTATTGTAACAAATATTGCTACAATAAACGTAAAAAAGGAGTTTGTATGAACACATCTTAATTTGACTACCACTTTTAAACTAAATATTGAAGGACCATTTTGAATGTTCCCGCGTTTTGTGTTAACTAAAGTGACCGCGAGATGGCGCCACTTCTGCCAAATAGTTCAAAGAACGCTCACCGGGTGTTACAAAACTGTCTCAAATTTTAACATTGCAGTTTCCATTCTAAAAGTAATTGTTCTGTGGTCTCTACTTAGACGGTTATGAGTCCGTCCTATAGATTAAAACAAGAGTAAAAATGAGAGTAACAATGTAACAGTGTGATGTAAAGTTTTTATCAATTTAACGTTTTTATTCATAGTGGGCTATAACGGCAAAGGGACAGAGTCGGCTCTAGGTGGTTCACACCATTATTATTGTCGATAAAATTGTTTCCTCTGTTTTCGATACAAAGCGACTTTTTAAAAATCATGAAAAAACAAAACAACCCCTTTTGCTGCATGTTTAATAACCACCTTGTATACAAATTACCGTACCGTATAATTATGTTATTTGTTTCTATTTTACCTATAAGAAAACGTGTTTTTGCATTTAATCAGCATGTAGGTAATCATTTATAGCCAAAATTATTAATAATAAATGGAAATATTAATCATGCAATTTTAATTGAATGTTAAAAATATGAAATACGGAAAAACCTGCGTTAATACACTTTGTTAATAATTATTGAAAAATGCTTTGTTGACAACAAAATATTTTTCCGAGAATAAAAATGACTGTTAAAATATTATTTGCCTCGGTATTTCTTATGCAAATACAATTTATTATGAAAAAACAACTAAATAAGAATACTGTTAATGTTAATAAACTTATATTATTGTTTAACTTTGTATACAGGGTAAAAGACAAATAACTCGCGTGACTGCAAAATAGGTAATAATCTGTCACTTGCCAATCAAAAATGTTTATTACAACTAAACAATGTCTTAATACCACTGTATACAGTGAGGACGTAAATTATTCCTCCTTCCCCTCCCCCTTAAAAAGTGATTTTTATATCACCTTTGATTTGCTTAATTTATTTATTTTAGTAAATATTGTGTTTCTTTAATTTGTAAAAACGGTTTTCTGGATAACAAACAATAATATTAAATACGAAGGTTATCAAGAATGTAACGTACCTACTTCATTAATTTATTCAATGTAATTTCTTTGGAAGCAAAAAAAAAATTAAAACTTTGCAGGGACGTAAAGATAATGAAAATATCTTTTAAATGTAGTATTACATGACCCTACTTTCCATTAGAAAATTAAAAGATAATAACGCATTCTATATTCTTATTGTATCTTTTAAATGAGGTATTACATGGCCATACTTTTCATTAGAAAATGTATCTTTTCTTTTAAATGAGGTATCCCATGACCCTACTTTTCATTAGAAAATGTATCTTATCTTTCAAATGAGGTATCACATTACCCTAATTTCCATCGGAAATTTTAAAGACATTAACGTCCTCTTTGTAACGTCTCAAAATCTCGTTATAACAAACATATTACAATATCTATCTAATGTCACCTCGTTTTTGTTTTCTGTCTATATCTTCTTTCATTTAGAAGTTACACAGTATTTTTAAATAATTAATTGTGGTCCAGAATCGCCATTTATGAAACATAAAGTTGTATCCATTAGTTGTGTTTAATGGGGTTTATTATTACTATAAGTTGGTACCGGTGTTGTCAATTATCATTTATGTCACATAGATCTAACTTGTAACTTGTCGTTGATATGTTTGCGTATGTATAGTAGTTTTGTTCTATAATAAATCTATTTTAAGAGTCATCCTGGAATTAAATAAAGTTAAACTAACAAAAACTAACAAATTTATGTTTCATTCAAAATTACATACTACTACAAACTACAAGTTGATGCCGTTGACACTAATGTAAAAAATTATCGTGTTTTTAAAGAACCGAATTTAAAAAATTAGTTTATGATTGTCTATATTTTCAAAATTATTTTAATAAAATCATCTAAAAAATAGAAACACATTCTGTTTTGACTATTTATTTATTCTTTTATATTATCTAGAATTGTTAACATGTATTTACATATTAATGTATACACAGCTGGACCAGCTCCACAATCCGATCTTCCGTACGAAACGACACCAATTAAATAACACCTTTTAACGTTATCGACTTTAAATGACTTCGTCATTGGTCCTCCTGAATCGCCGTTGCAAGAATCCTTCCCTAAAAATGTACAATAAATCAGTAAAATCAAATTAATTTCTGCGTATTTTATTGTTAAAATCTTTCGACTACCCCTGTATATACATACAAAATAAAGAAACAATATCTATTTTCAGTTACGACGTATGGGTAGCTGTTTTTCTAAAACAAATTTACCATCTTTATATAAAGACAGTAGTCACCAAATAAGAAAAAATCCTATCGACTCTTTTAGAATTATAAGAAAGTAAAATCATAGTTATTGTTTTCTTCTGAAGACCTAGCCTGTTATTTCAGTCCTCCACCAGAAGCACTATGTCATCTACTTTCATGAAATTCCACAGGTTTTTTTACCGCAATTTCATCTAGAATCAAACAAAAATGAACTCTACCCTGAATCTTGATACTTTAACTCCATCTTCTCATTAGTTTTTATCTCCTCGTATATATCTTGAACAATTTGCACGTTTCGCTATGAATCCCTTTCTATTCACATCATCTTTCTTGGAACCATATTCAGAGCCCTTTGGTTATGTCTGGACTTTTATATAAATTGACTAACAATAAAAACTGCATCTCTCGTAGACCTTCCACATTGTTATTTAACATAGTTGCTAAATTATAATGGGAAAATCTTAATCTAGTACAAGAATTTTGGCATTCAACATATTAAAACATAGAACAACAACATTTAATTTTAACAATTAGTATCTGGGCACAAAAATCTTAAAAACCAAGTTTGAATTTTCGAGGTTATTACGCAATCCGCGTCACAGCCTACGTCACAATGTTCCTCCCTTCGAATATAAGGTTCCCCCCCATGTAGAAGATTAAAAAAAAACAATATGTCACAAATGTTCAGGCCAAATATATGTGAATGAAATAGAACAAAGAAATTACTGCGAAAAAGAAGATCATGATTATGTTGGAGCTGTCGTCGAATTTAACCAGGAGGAAACAAATAGTTGCTAGTGTGTTAAAATACTGGTATGAAAATACAGTGAGCATCATAAGTCTTACCCCCCCTCCCTATCTAACTCGTTACTGGAGTCTTGTTAGGAAAGTCGCCGTGACACGTCGATTTTTGATTTTTACAATGTACATTTTTGTATGAATAGTTTACCTTTAATTTAATCCCTTATTGGAGGGGAGCAACCCTTTCGAAAAATTTAAATGGAATGGGGTGGTGAGTGATAGCTCATTTTAAAGGGGGTTTTATTCTCTATTCAACCGTGCAAAAAAATTTAAAATTTGCTTCATTAATTTTTGACTAATTATTGCTTCAGAATAACGGAAATTAACGTAGTGCACTCATCCTTAGAATTAAAATGCGGCCCTGCATGATATCGGTTTTGGTTCAGACGTGAAGTAAGACTTTTTGCCATTAGATAAGGTCACTGTTAGTTAAGTTGCTTTCCTATTTCTGATATTTTGTTATTTTTAAATATTAATAAATCAACACGTTATGAAGCAAATTTCAAAATTTTTTGCACCGTTGCATAGCGAATAAAACCCCCTTTCAAATGAGCTATCACTCACCACCCCACGCTATTTAAATTTTTCGAAAGGGTTGCTCCGCTTCAGTAAGGGATGAAATTAAGGGTAAACTATTCATACAAAAATGTACATTGTAGAAATCAAAAATCGACGTGTCTCGGCGATTTTCCTAACAAGACTCCAGTAACGAGTTAGTTAGGAGAGGTAAGACTTATGATGCTCACTGTATATAAATTAATGAAAAAATAGTTAAATGCACAAAAGCCACAGAAGACACAGATTCATAGATAAACCTAATATCCAAAAATATGTATGAGACATTAAAAATTAAAAAAAAAAAAAGAAAAGAATAAGAACAGACAGAATATTTTCTAGCTATGCAAACCACAAAATACCTATTGTAGGGCTAGTTAAACTCGAGAAATCGATAAAATTACCAATATTAAAGAATATTTAAAAGAAATAATTGAGGAATACAATATTTTCAAAGGCTTAGGGACGCTAACACAGAACTATAAAATAATCAGAAAATATACCAACTGTGAGTTGTGCAAAAAACTTCCACATTTACTTGGAAACCAAGTAAAAATATAAATTGACGAATATTAGGGGGGGGGAGAGGCATTGCCTTTAGCCATTTCCTCTTTAGCATATTTTTTTGAATAAAAGAAGGGTGTTAATGCGACGTCAATTTATTTTTTTGTTTCTTTTTAAATACTAATCACATAAATAAGGATTTCGTCCCATCAGCTGAGGGCGGGTAGACTGTAGTAAAACTTGTAGCTTGTACAAATGTGTGATTCTTGTTGAGGCCAGACACTTATTTGATAATAATAAAATTAAAATATGTTCTTCTGCAAACAATTTATTAAAACTATAAACTTTCTTCGGTTTACATAACAACTTTACACAATGAAAAGATATAAGTGCTTTAAACTTTATTACTGATAATAAACAAGTTTAATACATCTATTGTTTGTTCCTTTTTTTTTTTTTTTGAACACCGTGGAGCACCCGAAAAAATAAAGCAAAGGTTTTGTAAGTTTAAGTAAATCTCGCCTTCTTTTTGTCGAGTGTAAGTGTAGAATGGCTAGCAACTATATTAGTCTCGTCGTGATTAACTGGGGGAGCATCGCATGATCATTCTGCGTGATTAATGCAGACAAAGATAGCGTATTTGTACTTGCACACATGCGCTTATTTTTGACGATTTATTTTAACTATATTTATGTAAGCGCGAGTGAAACAGATTCGTGAGTTTGAGAGAGTTAGCATTGGTACTTAAATTAATGGAAAATTTATTTAGGCGCTTAAAATGCTGGTAATTAAGATGAAGGTATGCAAAATATGTTTTTCCTGGAATTCAAAAAACCGTTAAATTGCAGTTGGTGTTGCCATGAGTCAGGGCCAGTTTCCGATTTGCAAAAGATTTTTAAATTCAGTGATACAATATGCTAAATGAATAATAACAATGTTGTTCTTATGTTTATTACATATTATTTATACGGGGTAGATTAAAAACAGAGCAACTGAAGTGTCTGCGAAAAAATGCTTACCGTTTTTGAACAAAGGGGTTTTATAGAAAAACGTAGGATTTATTGAATGGGTACATCTAATAGTTCAAAAAACCAAATGGTCAAATCAGAATATGTATGAATCCAAAGTCTCTAAACAAGTATATAAAGAGAGAACAATGCAAAATTATTTACAGTACTGGATGCCTCATCTGCTTTCCTGTAGAAATCATTAGAAGAATACAACACAAAGCTGGGCATCATATTAACCTATTTGGCCGGTATAATTGCCAAAGACTATCATATATCGAATATCTGGCAAAAATAACTATACATGATACCCTAGAAAGAATTAAAGGTGTGTTTACTTACATGGATGATGTACTAATCATATATAGGAAAAACACCAGAAGAGTATAATAAAAAGTTACCATTCATTTTGCATAGATCCAGAGAATCTAACCTGAAAGTCAATAAAGCTAAAATGCAGTTGCTCGAGACAAAATACATTCTGACCAGTATCATATAGGTATAAACAACAATCTAATGTTACACAGTCGAGACGACATATCTATCCATCTAACATAATTTAACACCAATTTAATATTTGCAAGTAAACGAATACTTATTTATAACTGAAAGGATTACTCTATAGGGGAGATCGGGGTAAGATGACGATATTAAAATAAGAGAATTTTTGAAGTGCTACTACTGGTGCCATCTAGGTACAAATCCCCGCGCAGTTGTCCGGCTCGTTGATTAGTGCAGCAGTGATACGTCAACAACGCCTTTCTCAGGTAAGTAAACAAATCCAATGTCTTACCAACAATTCTTTAATAGGTACCAATAGATATTCTCAGTAGTAAAATTGTCGAAGTTTTGTTTTTATTTACATTTAGGCATCGACATTTAATAAATTCACACAAAATGAAGAAGGTAAGATGACGAACTCGTCACCTTACCCCAAGCAAGCGTACGATTTCGTCATCTTACCCCATGCACGCAAGCATTATAAAAAGGCCAGTATTATTTTACGGAATGCCGCGGGTGTACAAGCGCAAAACTAATCGTAGGCAGGAGTGAAGACTCCCTTTCAGCAGCTATGAGGGAAGTATGCGAAGGATCTTTAAGTTCTAACGCAGCTGCAATAACGATATTCCTGAGCCTACTTTATGAAGATACTTAAAAAGAGATGCTTGAGGTAAAGACTGTAAAGAGTTCAAAAAAATTCGCCATACATTACCGTCTCGATGATGGTGGGTGAGGTTTTCCGGGTTTTCCTCACCTGTAAGTCAAATGGCACCATCAATCATCTTTAAGTCGCCCCGGAGCGCCACGGCAAATAATAATAATAGCCGTCCCTTCCCCTACACAAGTCGTTCAGTCGACTTCAGGGGTTGAAATTCACTCGTAAGGGGGTGAATTAGGGAGAGTATTATTATTATTATTATTATTATTATTATTATTATAGAGCAGGTTGTTTTAAGAAAACCTTTAATGCTGAACAGACGGAAGAATTTGTTAGCTACCTAGAATATGCTGAAGCGAATAATATAGAACACAGGTTCACGGGAAAACAAAAGCAGCCAGGACTGATTGGTTTAAATATTTTAGTGCACGTAACAAGTTGAGTCTTAGAAATCCTAAAGCAACATCAATTGCACGACTACGAGGATTTAATAAGATCGCTGTCATTTTTTTTTACAATTTTGGAAGTGGTTAGGACCAAATACAAGGTTAAAGCAGACCGCATCTACAACGCAGACGAATCTGGTCTTTCAACTGTGCCAACGAAGCTACCAAAAATCATCTCTCCAACAGGACAACGACGAGTTGCCAAAATAGTGACAGCTGAGAGAGGTCGAAATACAACTTTGGTGTGTGCAATAAATGCTGTCGGATCACACGTACCTCCATTTTTGATATTTGGCAGCGTAAGAATGAAACCCCAGTTATTATGTGGTTGTCCTCCTGGTTCTGATGATAGGGCATAACCTTTAGGCTGGATGA